ACACTAACAATACCACTTGAGAGAGAGAGAGAGAGAGAGAGAGAGAGAGAGAGAGAGAGAGAGAGAGAGAGAGAACGTATGCTCTTTATATAGAATCGATATATTGAGTTAGCTGTATTGACGGGACACAGTGATAAACGTCAGTGGGGAAGTGTTTGTTGCACTCGACAAGCTTGACGTTAATGGCTTTGTGATCTCTCCGGGCGAACACATCACCCTCACAACGCCCTCACATACACCCTCACAACGCCCTCACATAAACTCCCACAACGCCCTCACATACACCCTCAGAACGCCCTCACATACACTCTCACAACGCCCTCACATACACCCCCACAACACCCTCACATACACCCTTAGAACGCCCTCACATACACTCTCACAACGCCCTCACATACACCCCCAACGCCCTCACATACACTCTCACAACGCCCTCACATACACTCTCACAACGCCCTCACATACACCCCCCAACGCCCTCACATACACCCTCACAACGCCATCACATACACCCTCACTACACCCTCACATACACCCCCACAACACCCTCACATACACCCTCACATACACCCTCACAACGCCATCACATACACCCTCACAACACCCTCACATACACCCTCACAACGCCCTCACATACACCCTCACAACGCCATCACATACACCCTCACAACGCCCTCACATTCAGCCTCCCATTCCGTGATTCTATCGCCGTTATTCCCCGCTGTCGTCCGTCCACTCACACAACCCCCCCAGCCCTGACCTACTGTCCCCTAGGTGAGCACATTTCTCAAGACCATGCGATGTCTGGGCATATTTTTGTTTTCCTTTTTCCGCTTCAAGGTAGCCACAAATAATTGTTATCAGGTGCGAAGGCTGATCTGTTTTAGTTTTAATAAGTGTTTTACGGTACTTTCAACACGATAGCTGACCAGTTTGACAGGGACACCAAAATGGGGCAAAATAACGGGCAGAGATAAGGGCACATAGAAAAATCTTTCCCACAAGAGAAACACGATTGTGGACTAAACTTGTTCCAGACGACTTCACTGAATTGTCAATAAAAACACATCTTGAGTTCGTATTGTGTTCATCAGCCAAACAAGTCGAGAAAAAAAACTCATTCAACATTTTGTATTTCCACTTTGGGCAAAACGTAATATGTATGGGTCAATTTAACCACTTCAGTGCCAGACCCGAGGATTGAGCTATGGGGCAGGTCTAAGAGTCAAAGCACATTCCTGCGTGTCACAAATCCCAGTTTATTAGACATAAGAATTCATTAAAGGCGACTTTTTTTGTTGAAGTAAGTGATTTGGTCACGTCTCACACTGGCTTTAAAAAACGGAATTTATTCCCTCACTCTGTTGTTACGAGATTGTTTAGTGGTCTGTTTTTTATATCACAAAATATTTAGTTGCGTCTTGATTCAACTGTTCGTAATATGATCGAGTTTCTTCGAACACCTTCTCTTAATAATTTGTTGCTGTAATCTCTGGACTTAATCGCCCACAGACATTCGTGGGATCTGTAGGCCCCTACATCTCAATGAAGAGAATAACTGTCTTTTGAGCAACTTGCAATGCTGTGCTCTGTACAGTGACTGTGTAGTGTGTAGTGTGTAGGCTTGCAGCTATGACGTCAGATGCACAACACATTGGGTGGCCTTGATATTTGACTTCAAATTCAGAATTGACAATAATTTATGGACATAATTTACTTAAGTTTAATATATGGCATCAAATTAGGTTCTATGCAGGCCACTTTGCCTATAACAACAGGCAAGTTTGATGGAAAGAGAGGCAGAGGCAGACAGAGGGAAAAGATACTGGACAAGATGACAACATGGCTAG